GAGATGATCATAATAGTCCCATCCGGCCTTAGAGTCTACGAGTCACAGTGAATTCCCCCATGTTGGATGCCGCACTTTTTGAGTTAGGAAAGTGTCATCTATAAAGTTTAGACATTCCAAGGATGCTCTCGTATTGGCAGCATGAGCTCCCAGCATACGTAACTCACATTGAAGTCCACCAGAATAACACTGGGATTTTTTTTTCTTACCACACATCGTCGATCGGTACACAAGGAAGCAGTTATCCTGTTCCCCAGTGGGATTTGGCGGTTGGTAGCAGACACCAGCTAGTACCACTTCTTGTGCTTTACCAATGAGGACTCTGATCCATAAGCATTCAGGTTCACTTTCCTCCAGACTATCAGTGACTCAGAAACAGGCCATGCCACAGGACACTGGCTTCCCGCTGGGGAGCCTGGGCCATGGTGTTCCTGGTATTTGTGCCCTGCTTCGGGACCCTCAGACTGAAGTGCATTGAGTTATTATTTGATTGTTAATACTTCACCCTAACCCTTGCCCCCAAACCCCGAGTTTTACCCTCCCCCTCCCCCTCTCCTGTTACCTCCCTCCATTTGCCCAGTGTCCACAGCAGATCAATGACGTCCTGGCTCCCCCACAGCCCTCTCGGAGCCTCCCCCCCAGCAGCTGTGGGGAGGCAGACTCAGCGCTGGAATCTACAGACAGCTGCAACAGCTGAGAGAGCAACCTGCTGGGAACCCTCCGCAAACCGGGCTCCAGGGCCGGCTGCCTCTGTGGAGACAAGACGTGAAGGAGCCCGTGCCCGAGACTGTGGGTGTGTGTTTGCGTGCGTGGGGTTTGGAGCTGACTGGCGGCCAGGGCCCGCAAACCACCCCAAAGGCACCCTGCAGGATTGCCCTCCAGAGCTTCGCCCAGCCTGGCAGACGATTCCGCACGCAGACTGATCTCCCAGGCCCTGGGTGCCGCCTCAATGTTCCCGGGGTGAGGCCCCCCCTGCTGCCAACCCCCTCAAGAATCCCTCCCTGGTGCCCCCCACGTGAGGCACTCGCAGGCTGTTGGCCTGCCCCCCCCGGGTCACTGAGCCAAACTGGGCGGGTTGGTCCCTCAGACCCTGCTCATCCGTGCTGCTCCACTCTGAACTGCCCCCGCTCCTCACAGTCTCTGTGCTGCGGCCGTGCCCCGAGGGTTGCCGGGGGTCCGGCCTCCGACCGGAACACCTGGGTCGGCAGCACAGCGGGGGCCCGGGGCTAAGGCAGGCTCCCTACCTGCCCTAGCTCCGCGCGGCTCCCAGAAGCAGCCTTGCGGCCCCAGGCGCATGGGGGGCCACGGAGGCTCCATGCACTGTCCCTGCCCCAAGAGCCGGCTGCACAGCTCCCATTGGCTGGGCACTGCAATCAACGGGAGCTGTGGGCCTGCGGGCAGCGTGCGGAGTCTCCCTGGCCACCCATGTGCCTAGGGGTTGCAGGGGCCTGGCGGCCGCTTCCTAGAAACCACCTGAAGCGCCACCGGGACCCCGCACCCCGAACCCCCTTCTGAACCCTGACCCCCTCCCCCAGACCGGAGTCCCCTTCTACACCCAAACTCCCTCCTGGAGCCCGCACCGCGCCCACACCCCAACTCCCTGACCCAGCCCTGAGCCCCCTTCTGCACCCCAAACCTCTCATCCCTGGCCCTACCCCAGAGCCCACACACCCAGCCGGAGCTCACACCCGCTCCTGCACCCCAACCCCCTGGCACAGGGACGGGGAAGTCAAGCCCAGCTCCTCTGTACATCCCTAGGCCCCGGCTACACAGAGCCAGTCAGTGCACTAAGTGGGGTGCAGCCTGTGCCCCCAGGGCTTGGGGGGGACAGTAGGGAATCTACAAGGGGCTCGCTCATCTTCTGGGTCAGTTTCAGGGATTTCCCTACAGGGTTCCAAGGTTTTTCCCCTGGTACTGGCCTGACAGCTGGGGGTGACATCCTCCAGCTCCCCACCAAGCAGGCACTGCCCCCCCCCACCAGTGTTTTCCAGCGCAGGGGAATGAGGGGACCCATCAGCCCTCATCCTGCCTGCTGAGGGAAGAGCCGGGCCCAGGCGTGGGGCTGGGGGCTGACCTGGACCCTTGCCCATTAGACACAGGACCGAGACCGAGCTAGCTCATTTCACCCCAGCCAGACACGCCTGGCTAAGCCTTTTGGCCACCCCCAACTACAGCAGGCCTGAAACCATTGGCCTGCCTTTCTTCCAGCCAAACGCTTCTCTGGCCCCTGTAGTAACCGAGCGCCTCACACCCGAGTGGCAGGGCAGGGCTATACCCCAGGGTGCGGATGGGAGTTGAGGCCACGCTGAGAGGTCAGTCTGCACAGCCAGAAGAGGGGTGATCTTACCGGGGTTAGAATAGCAGGAGGCCCCAGCAGCGTGGCTCTTGGCTCAGGCCAGAACACCACTTTCTGCAGTGCAGACAGACCCTCAGAAGTTGCCCAAGGAAGCCTGTGGCCAAGGGAGTCCTGCACTGCACCTGGGGTGTCCCGAGGCCCATGCTCGTGCCCAGACCACTGCACCACCCTTTGCAAACACTCCCGAGGTCATTGTCCGTCCCTAAAGAGCTGGGCAATTCCGGCAGCCTCCAGGACAGAATGGCCAGTCACCAGGCACAGCGGAGAGACCGGACCCTTTCTGTAACTGCTGGGGTTCTCCTGCAGAATGTCAGGGGCTCTCTGCAGGCAGTGTGGGGATGTCCCGGAGGGCCCGTGCTGGAGAAGCAGCAATTTGCCAGTTTATTCCCATACAGCCACCTTTGGGACAAGCATCCTTCCTGCTTCACCCTCAATGGAATGGGCCTTGTTCATGAACATCAAGAGCCCCAGACCTCCACCTCCAGAGGGTGACCAGATGTCCTGATTTTATAGGGACGGTCCCGATTTTTGGGTCTTTTTCTTATATAGGCTCCTCTTACCCCCCACCCCCTGTCCCGATTTAATTGGGGATTGGTCCTGCTTTGAGCAGGGGGTTGGACTAGATGACCTCCTGAGGTCCCTTCCAACCCTGATATTCTATGATTCTATGATTCTATGATTTTTCACATCGGCTGTCGGGTCACTCTAACCTCCAGGGACCCCACAATCCATCATCTGCAGTGTCTCCATTCCTAGAACCTCCTGCCCTGAGTTTTCATGGCGCTTCACAGATTCTCTCCCCCAGCATCTGTGAAAGGTAGCCGCACAGAACACAGCATGTCGAATAGCAGTGCAGGGAAGCCCATGATACAAAGTGTCAACCAAGGGATGTCCTTGTGGAGCAGGTAGGATTTGGAGGGTCTGCATGTGATCTTCCCCACCTAAGCTCTCCCGAGTAACATCTCGGCTGATCGGGGGCAGGTCTGCATCCCTAGGAGCAAATGGGGCAGTTTCTGTTCATCCCTCAAGGGAGACCCAGCCGTGGGGCTGCTGCAGAGATCCATGGGACATCAGGCTGAGCTCGACAGGGGTGGGCAGGCTGCCCTGGGTGCTCAGGCTGCGGGTGTCCCCGAAATGGACTGATAACCCGACGACAAAGTGTTGGCTAATAGACGCTGGCTAGCATAGACACAGTGTAGGTACTCCAAGCGGTTAAGCGTGTATATTATTAAGTATTAGCATAGCAGTTCTCTTGCCCAGATTGGCCTGTACCTTCGTTACACCCCTGTCCACTTATGGCAGGTCTTCCAGAACACCTTGCTGTGGCTGCAGTCAGCCTTGGCCTGAGCAGATAGGAAACCTGTGTGTAACAGGACAGGCGATCTTACTTCCTCAGGGCAGCAAGCAAGCAGCTGTCCTCAGAAACCGAGGCGAGGCCTGCATGCCCCTTAGTCCCTGTCATGCCTGTCTCAGAACACAGGGAAGGGGGCGTCACGACCTAAATGGGTGCTGGGTTCAGAACCAGAGAGAAAGGGGTGCCCCCCAGTACTAGAAACAGACAAGGTACAAAGGTGATGAACTACGTTCCATTTCAAACGCCGGACCTGGGGCCTTTTCCGGGTGAACAGGGAGGGCATAAAAGGCTGGCTTTCAAGGTGGCGCTTGGGGGAGCCACCTTCTGCCGAAGGTGAATGGAACGTCACTGCGGGCCAGTGCTCTTCGGGGACTGGGATCGTACAGAACAGAGTCAGAAACCTGGCTGACACGGGGCATTTGGTCTCCGGAGTGTATTTCGTAATGAAATAACGAACCAAGGTGCTCTCCAGCAGCCGACTAGCCAGTCTATCAGCACAGCAGGTAGATGGTGGAGGGAGCGAACCTGACTCCTGGCTGGAGCAACACCAGCACAGGCCAGACGAGGGGCCTGATCCTGCCCAGGGCTGGACACGCTCCGCTCTCACTGCAGCCAGAGGGATTTGAGGGTGCTCCGTGGTGCGCCCCTGGCTGCCACACCAGCAGTGAAGGCAGGGGACGTTCCCCTTGTGGGTGAGTTTCTGCCCCGTCGCACCAAAGGGCTGAGCACTGGCAAGGAGTCAGCCGCCAACTCCCAGCTGCTGTCCCCTCGTCCGTCCTCATGTCCCACTTCCCCAGCATGCCAAGACCCTCCCTGATTGGCACCTGGTTAGCTCGCCCTCAGCTGTCCCTGACACCCGACACACCTCCCCATCCTGCCTCCTTTCCTGGCACTCCAGCTCGCCTGGGAAAGGGAAATCAATGGGGAAGCAGGGGGGCGCTCAGGCTAAATTGCCAGGCCACAGGGAGCCGGATAGCTTCTAAGAAGCCGCACGTGGCATTGGGGGGCGAGTGGGGTCAGGGAACCCGATCCCTCCGGCCAGCGGCTGGCGGCACTCGGTTTATTTATTCCCCGGAGAGGGGCCGCTCTCTGTCTGTCAGATAACTGGCGGGTGTGGAGGGATCCCTGTGGATGGCTCACACCACCCGTGCCATGTCAGTCGACGGCTAATCTCCTCCCCCCGGCACATCAGCTCAGCGCCTGAGGCCCTCCGGGACCGGCAGCCGGCCCACCGGATTCCTCTCCCAAACATTGGGCTTTCCGGGAGGGCAGTGCCCAGGACTGGGGAGCATGTCGGCGCTGCTGCAGAGCGCGGGTGGGAGCGCCCCTGGGCTGCCCTCAGCGGGGCTCCCCAGCACTGAGCGTGGAGGTAAGGAGCACAGGGAAAGCCACGGGACGTGCTCAGGGCTGTGGGGACTGGGGCTGGGGAGAGAGCTCCTGGCAGTGACTGGGACTGAACCCCTGGGGATGAGGGGTGCTCTCTCCGGGCTGGGGGAGCCGTGCGGTGCAATGATAAGACGTGATACATCGACAGGAGCCGTCCGTGTTTCCGTGCACAGAGTGCTTGTCCCCACCCCGTCCCGCAGGGAGGTCAAGTCACCAGCACGCTCCTGGCTGGGCCGGTAACGTGGAGTGCTTGGTTTGCACTGCCGAGCTCCTGCTGCCTTCCCTTGGCCTGGAAAGCCCCAACCCCACTCCAAGAGAAGCCCGACCCCTCCGGGTTTCATTTAATGCAGACGAGGCAGGCAAGGGAGCAAAGGAAACCTGTGAAACTGCAGGTTCACTGCGCGGCTTGGGCCAGAGTGGAAATCAGCATCGCTCCATTTACACCAGCTGAGGCTCCGGCCCCTGAGGCTGTTTCAATGGGGCCGTTAGGTCTGTGCTGTACAGCTGTGATGATAGACAACTCCTCGTGCACACTCTTAGCAGGGGGCTATGCCGGGAGACTGGTTCCTCTGCACTGAGGGTGGGGGACGGCACCATAGGCCGGGATAATTGTGCCCACATCAGGAGCTGCACTGGTACCTACAGCGCTATAAAATCCCATCCCTAATGGAAACTGTCAATTTGGTACAAGCACCAGGCCTGTGGGCTTTAGGCACCCAGGGCCCCTTGTCATTCAAAGGCAGTTTGGCACCACGCCTCCTTTAAAACCTCAGCCCAGGCTTCAAAGTGTAATGGAAGCAGAATGGCAAAGGCTCCCCCCCGGCCGCACTTTGCCTTTGATCCCAGGGGCTGTGGGTTCAGCATGAATCCCCCATGTGGGTGCTGCTGTGATGGGCTGTGAAGAGGCCGGCCACGCTGAGCAGGTCTCAGGCTGGAGTCGTTTGGGTGAAGAGGCACCGGGACCTTGTGTTGGTTAATGTCGCTCCCCGGGGAAAGCCAGGCCTTATTATTAGAGCGGCTTAAACGTTTTCCTTCAACATTTATTTTTGGCTGAAAACGAGTCCCTTTTCGAAAGGACATCCGTTGTGGAACATTTTCATTTGGAGAATTTTAAAAAAATCTAGGAACATATTTGGAAAAAAAAATGTCTTTCTTTTGCCTTTTTTGCAGAAGACACATAACCAGCAGTCCTAATGGTTAGTAATAGTTGGAACAGAGAAATAGCAGAACACAAACTCCTTGGGAAGTTCACCCTAAGGCCCCGATCTCTGTACATTTTTTACTTTTCCTTTCAAGGCGAGGTCTGGAAAAGGCAGGTTTTTCCTTCGGGGGCCCTCCCCGAAGGCAGGTGTGCTGCATAAGCCGGAAGTTCCCTTAGCGGCTGCTGGGATGTTTTCATTCTAGTTTAAACAACAGTCCCCCTAAGTCCATCGCAACCCAAGCAGACAGCATGCAGATAAAAGGGCTCCACTCCTCCCAGGGTCAGGGCTGATGTGATGCTTCCCGGGGTGCCCAGGGTTGTGGGGCACCTCACTGTTGTTAGTTGTTGGCCGCATGTGTGTGTTCTCTCTGCGTTCGGCACTGGCCCTGGCCAGATAGCAGGCTCCAAACGCACTGACCAATAAGACCCAAGGCTTGGTTTTGTAGGGAAGGCACCCGGCCAGGTTTATTGCTGACGAAGCACGGTCTTAGCTCCCCAGCTCAATGTCTGCAGTTACACTTACACATGTATGCTGGTTGCAATGGACACAGCTCAGTGAATGGCGGGACTTTCCCTTCCCCGCCAGGCTGGCCAAAGACTCCCTCTGAGACTCCTTTCTATACTCTGACACCAACAAGTTACGTGTTGCCCCCCTGACATGGTCGGTTACCACCCTTTACCCTGTACATGTTGGACTGATCAGAACATCTCCATCGCTCACGCTGTCATCCTGATTTTGTCTTTAAGCAGGGGGGTCAGCGTGTCCTTGTGTCATCTTCAGGGAGTGTGTTTACACCACTCGGGGTGTTGTGGTACCACCCTTCTGGAGTGTGTCTGCATGCGTGTCCTGTGCCTAGCGCGTCTCAGGAACGTGGGTGTGTTTGCAATACCAGCCCTGTGCTTGCCTTCAGGATCCTGACACAGGGAAGAAAGGAGAGCAGCAGAATACGGACCCTGGACTTCAGAAAAGCAGACTTTGACTCCCTCCGGGAACTGATGGGCAGGATCCCCTGGGAGAATAACATGAGGAGGAAAGGAGTCCAGGAGAGCTGGCTGTATTTTAAAGAATCCTTATTGAGGTTACAGGGACAAACCATCCCGATGTGTAGAAAGAACAGTAAATATGGCAGGTGACCAGCTTGGCTTCACAGTGAAATCCTTGCTGATCTTAAACACTAAAAAGCAGCTTACAAGAAGTGGAAGATTGGACAAATGACCAGGGATGAGTATAAAAATATTGCTCGGGCATGCAGGAGTGAAATCAGGAAGGCCAAATCACACCTGGAGTTGCAGCTAGCAAGAGATGTTAAGAGTAACAAGAAGGGTTTCTTCAGGTATGTTAGCAACAAGAAGAAAGTCAAGGAAAGTGTGGGCCCCTTACTGAATGAGGGAGGCAACCTAGTGACAGAGGATGTGGGAAAAGCTAATGTACTCAATGCTTTTTTTGCCTCTGTCTTCACGAACAAGGTCAGCTCCCAGACTAGTGCAGTGGGCAGCAGAGCATGGAGAGGAGGTGACCAGCCCTCTGAGGAGAAAGAAGTGGTTCGGGACTATTTAGAAAAGCTGGATGAGCACAAGTCCATGGGGCCAGATGCACTGCATTCAAGAGTGCTAAAAGAGTTGGTGGATGTGACTGCAGAGCCATTGGCCATTATCTTTGAAAACTCATGGCGATCGGGGGAGGTCCCGGACAACTGGAAAAAGGCTAATATAGTGCCCATCTTTAAAAAAGGGAAGGAGGAGGATCCTGGGAACTACAGGCCAGTCAGCCTCACCTCAGTCCCCGGAAAAATCATGGAGCAGGTCCTCAAGGAATCAATTCTGAAGCACTTAGAGGAGAGGAAAGTGATCAGGAACAGTCAGCATGGATTCACCAAGGGCAAGTCATACCTAACTAATCTAATTGCCTTCTATGACGAGATAACTGGCTCTGTGGATGAGGGGAAAGCGGTGGACATGTTGTTCCTTGACTTTAGCAAAGCTTTTGACACAGTCTCCCACAGTATTCTTGTCAGCAAGTTAAAGAAGTATGGGCTGGATGAATGGACTATAAGGTGGATAGAAAGTTGGCTAGATTGTCGGGCTCAATGGGTAGTGATCAATGGCTCCATGTCTAGTTGGCAGCCGATATCAAGTGGAGTGCCCCAAGGGCCGGTCCTCAGGCTGGTTTTGTTCAATATCTTCATAAATGATCTGGAGGATGGTGTGGATTGTACCCTCAGTAAGTTTGCAGATGACACTAAACTGGGAGGAGTGGTAGATACGCTGGAGGGTAGGGATAGGATACAGAGGGCCCTAGACAAATTAGAGGATTGGGCCAAAAGAAATCTTATGAGGTTCAACAAGGACAAGTGCAGAGTCCTGCACTTAGGACAGAAGAATCCCATGCTCCGCTACAGACTAGGGACCGAATGGCTCGGCAGCAGTTCTGCAGAAAAAGACCTAAGGGTTACAGTGGACGAGAAGCTGGATATGAGTCAACAGTGTGCCCTTGTTGCCAAGAAGGCCAATGGCATTTTGGGATGTATACGTAGGGGCATTGCCAGCAGATCGAGGGACGTGATCGTTCCCCTCTATTCAACATTGGTGAAGCCTCATCTGGAGTACTGTGTCCAGTTTTGGGCCCCACACTACAAGAAGGATGTGGAAAAATTGGAAAGCGTCCAGCGGAGGGCAACAAAAATGATTAGGGGACTGGAACACATGACCTATGAGGAGAGGCTGAGGGAACTGGGGATGTTTAGTCTTCAGAAGAGAAGAATGAGGGGGGATTTGATAGCTGCTTTCAACTACCTGAAAGGGGGTTCCAAAGAGGATGGATCTAGACTGTTCTCAGTGGTAGCAGATGACAGAACAAGGAGTAATGGTCTCAAGTTGCAGTGGGGGAGGTTTAGGTTGGATATTAGGAAAAACTTTTTCACTATGATGGTGGTGAAGCACAGGGAGGTGGTAGAATCTCCTTCCTTAGAGGTTTTTAAGGTCAGGCTTGACAAAGCCCTGGCTGGGATGATTTAGTTGGGGATCAGTCCTGCTTTGAGCAGGGGGTGGGGCTAGATGACCTCCTGAGGTCCCTTCCAACCCTGAGATTCTACGATTCTATGATGTGGTCGCCGTACTTTACCATTCACACGTTCATGCCCCATCTGTCCTAGTCTGCACATTCCCTCGTACGACTGGTGGACAGAGTTTATTTTCTAATTGTTTTTAGCTCCTTATGGTGGGCCTGGGAATGTTAGGTCTGGGACTCTGATTGAGGAATTTAATTTTATGATTGAGCCTTGGGGGCACTCCCAGATAACATACAGGGACATGGTATATATGTGTCGTGTAGGAGGGTGTCGTCTATGTGTGCCTATGACACCACCTCATATTTAAGCATCACAATCCATTTCCAAGCTGGCGTTGTCGTCTGGCCCTTTTGCTTTGGTGCTGCAGATAGCAGCTCACTCCCCCACCAGCCTCCGGCCACACAAGAACAGCCTCCCCGGCCTCGCGCTCTCTGTACAGCTAGCAGGAGGCAGACGACAAACCCCGAGTCCCCCGAGCTCCCCTCCAAAGTGCCCAGGCCCTGAGCCGCTACAGAACGCTCAGCTCTGCTCTTCCCGAAGGAACAGCACACCCCAGCCTGCGAGACTCAGCTCAGGGCCCCAACGCTACCCACCACAGAGCACGGAGCGCCGGGCGCAGTGAAACCACAAATAAATGTATTCGCAAAGAGCAGAGGTTCAAGCGGTTGTGAGTAAGAATGTGGGAAACATATAACACAAAATCATCACATGCTT